GCTTCACATTTTTTGCGCGTCTAAGCCCATCTCGGCGCTTGGTGTAATCCTCTTTGAAATCGTTTTTAATTTTGGAAGTCATCATCAGTTGTAGTCTGACACAGCGTTTTATCCCTTCGGCCATGGTCTCGGCGCCGTTGGATCCTGGGGTTCCTAGACAGTCACCCAACCTATAACCTGCGATATCTCGAATTCGCTTATTCCCCGTAACTTCAGGGAGCGTTGTAATCGAATTCGGCTAGCGACACCAGTCCACCCTGCTGCGCCTCGTTCTGACACGCCTCGTCTCAGACCGTCCGCGACGTCCCGACAGGACCCGTTCCACAGCATTGCTCCACGTCATTCCAATCCACCCCACCCTGCTTCGTTTCACCTCACTATGTCCACCTTGCTCCGCCTCTCTTTTCCCCGCCCCATTCCCGCCCTCCGCCCTCCACCCTTCTCCACTCCTCGCCATGACCCGTCACCCACCGCCCAGCCCCTTCCCGCTCCTATCCGCCCCGCCAAGGGGTTCCATCTCTGCCTGTCCCGTCCGCCCCGCCCCGTCCCGCCACGCCTCGCCACTCCCAGTCGCGGCCCGGCCCGTCCCACCTCACTCCACCCCGCCCTACTACGACCCACTCCGCGTGCCTCCGGCCCGTCCCGCCCCGCCCCGCTCCGTGTGAGGCGCTGCCGCTGACGCAACGGCTGCGCTTCCGAGCGTGAGCTCAGCGCGTGACGCGGCGTGACGCGAGGCGACGCGACGCCGCACCCCAACGCACCGCGCCGCGCCGCGCGGGCACTCATTCACGCACGCCTCACGCGCTCCGCTCCAAGCCCTCGGGCCCTCAGTTCCCGTGGTTTCTCTGATCAACACCAGGCCAATGCCGGAGCAAACCCCAACAAACAGGCCAAGGACAATCCACTTTCCTTCCTCTTCCTCGACCTATTCTCATTCCTTGCTTATACTTCGATTTTCCTATAGTGGCCGATGACATTAGGTCATTGTTACACATCCTGCCTCATAAAATAAATATTTTTAAAAAAAATTCTGAACGGTCTTCTCAGCGGGTTCGTAGCCTCATAAATGTGCTTACGACTTTTAAAAAGATTCATTTTATAATGCAAGAGGTGTAACAATGACCTAATGTTATCGGCCACTATAGAAAAACCGAAGTATACCCCCACTTAGGCCCTACCCTTCCACACTTGTCGGGAGAGCGGTCGGGAGCTTAGAGATTGTCGCGACTGGGGTGGTGGCCGCTGGTGGGACATACCTGGTGGAGGAAAACCACGCTAGTAAGTTGGCACCAAATACAACACCAATACACCACCTCAGCACCAAATACAACATGCACTACATCTTCGGAACAAAAAACCTTAGAAGTTAACGCGCTCGAAATCAGTAATGAATAAATCAACCGCCCAGACGTGGGCGTCGGGAGTCGAAGGGGGCGAAGAAGGCGCGCTGCAGGCAAGTGACCGCTGAGGTGTGAGCGCACGACTCGTCCTTCTGCGTCCTCTTTTAAGTCCTTTTTATTACTAGGATTACCAGTACGGATCGGCTCGCTGCCGGTTGAAAGTACATAGATGCCAGCCGAAGCTTTATCTGGCCACGTTTCAGGGTTAAAGGATCAACTTTCCCTTAAAGAGAATACCAAAAATGTTCCCGAACAGGTTTACGAGTACAGTCATCGAGGATACGGTGAACCAGCGCGCGTACGAGGCTTAAGAAAATTAGAAGCCGCCGCCGAAACGGAGTTGTCGTCCAGACGTTCGGGATATCCCGGTCGGGTGAAACGGAACAGATCAAACCGTCACCTCATTCAAAAGGGTAGGGACCCCTTTATATAGCCCCAATAGGGACACTACACTTGACATGTTATGTCTCCTTTCTCTGTTTTACTCTCGGTGACTTGAAAGCCAACGGTGGCTTGAAAACATATTTCCACATTAAGTCAGCCAAAACCTTGTTTCAAAGCCAATTCATTTTTATCAACTTGTGAAGAGTTAAGTCAGACAATACATACAAGTGTCATTTTATCCTTCAAAGTATCTGATATTTTTAATGTCATACTCTTATTATGTACACACTTAAGTACCACGAAAATCTAAGAGATAAATAAGAAATACGACAATTTAATTTATAATATACTATGTAAACGCTTTAAGCATTTTAGTAGTTTCATCCCGTATGGTTGACATTACGAAACTATTCATTTCGCTTTTAAAAATTTATAAATTTTTCAACCCCATGCTAGCCCTTGCTTCATGTTTGGGCTTGCTTTTATTTACACATTCCTTTCGACAATTGTCCAACATGCATACTTACTCTCTACTTGCACAAGGAATGCGAAGTACCATCTGAGTCAACAAAAAACATATTAGCAAATTAGAACGGCTGAGTAAGTGAAAAATATTGCGGAGTGGGTCTGCCTGCATGTACATGAACGCTTGTGTAATCTCGCAAAATAGGGAACATGCGAAATTTCTACCTTTTGGTGGTAGGATACCGATTATCTATTAAGTAATACTTAAAAAATATGAGTGTGCTAACGAGTTACTTATGAAGGTAAGTAATAAAACATCATCTCTCTATTAATCAAATTGAAGATCGTGAAGGTTTGCATGTTATGCATGTGCACACTCCCGAATTCACATTCACAATATTTCAAGGGAAGAGAAATATTCAAAGAGATGAACGTGTGTAATTATGAGGATCACCTTTTTACGGCCGTATTCCTTGATAAGGCAAGGTTGTTACGCTTACAAATAAGAATAATAATGAGATAGGATGGCAATGAGGGGTGAAGGGAGAATAACAAATACGACCATGCTCACACAGAACTCGGACTGTCGCATCCGTCTGCGCCACACTGTGTCTTAGCTTTTTGTCATGTAAATTGTTAATCAGTATAATATCCATTGAAAAGTCACCTCAAAGCGACTGACAATGACCTGTAATGAACCCCACAGTAAACAACAACGTAACCAAACTTCCGATGGATCAAGATCCCGAAAATCAGGTAAAGAAGACCTACGCCACCGCCACTGTGAGTGATGTGTTTCCATCGAAAGATCAAGGAGTAATTATAGAAGCTCAGGAAGGTATTTCCCGAAAAGAATATGTTACTAAATTTGCTACAATAATGAACCCTAATGACAATTCGTGTCGCGGATATCAAATAAGAGTGTACTTCTGAATACTAAGAAATGAACAGATTACCTTACTAGAAAGTACCTTAACTCAATTGAACTCCCCCTCACTTATGACCATTTGAAAAGTTTCATTGACAAAGCAAAACCAATTTGAAAAGACATTGACAAAGCAAAACCAATTTGAAAAGACATTGACTTTAGTTTTGCCTGAAATGACATTTCAGCTAGAATTATGTCTACCAACAATTACCGTTATGATAGGGACCACTGTCCCATTAGCATTAGTCTTCCAGATCTATTCTCCAATCTGAGATGTGAGCCTAAATGAAAACAACTCCAACAGTTCATTAAGTGCAACTCTTAATCAACCAATAATCCTCGACTCTGAAGAGCTAAACTGATTAATGCAGGACTTAATTTCGCTTATCCTAGAAGCTGCAAGAACTTCGAGTCCCAACTTCTGACATCTATTGAAGAGGTCAGATCCAGAACCCAGTCCAAAGTGTGGTGTAGCTCGCTACCTCTTCAATGTCCTGCTTCTAATAATATAAGAAAACATGTAAAAATTGAAGGAACCCTATAATCATTACTCAGTTACACAGACGTGTGTGCCAAAATAATAAAATTCTTAGCAACTTTAAAACTGTATAGCCTTATGTAGCTGAATAATGATTGCGAATGAAGTTAGATTAAAACTTATGTATTGTGAAAATGTGATTTCAACAGTAACATTTTTTTCTTGTCCTAATTGTAACTATTATGTTTGTATCTACAATTGTATAATGACGGGGGTCGCTGATGACCTTGACGTTATAAAGTGACCATAAATAAATAAATTAAAAAAAGAAGAAAAAGAATTTCCAAGCCCTCGGAGCCTTCCAAGGACGATTCTCTCTGTTATCCGAAAGCAAGACTCGTCTAGAAAGTAGATTTTCTTTCTTATTTTTAGACCTATGTCCCTCATACACGTTCCTGCGAAAAACAGCAAATAATTGATACGAGTATGTGTAAATTAACACCTGTGTTATTAATTATTATAGTACTTCTCCCAAAAATAAATCATCGACATCGAAGTCGTATGCCTGGTTCGTGACGTTGTTTTTAAGCAACTTTACAGTCTCGTTGCAGTCTCTCTCAGTATGCACTAAAATTAGATCGTTTAGTTCTTCCATAGTACAAATTGGCTGATTGTTTCATGAGTGATGAAAAACTCGAAAATTCTGAGGAAAATATAACTATACCTCTTTCGTGAACTGTTGTGAAACAGAAAAATATTTTGCCACATGATTTTCTAAATAGAAAATTTCAAATTTTCTTAAACACATTACGCCGGTTACTAGAATGTTGACCACTTTGTGACTCCTCTACTAACAATAAGTAATTGTCATGTTGTGCTAACTAAACTAATATTTTCTTTGGGAATACTTCGTGTCCTCTTGAAAAAGAAGGCTTCATAAATATGAGTAACCATTGCTTTCGTAACTGTTGCTTTCGGAAAGTTGTTTATTTTTCACATCTATAATCTACAATATATGATATAGATAGTACAGTAAAAAATAGTCTACTTAACAGAAATTTTCGTATTGTAGGCTGAAATAATATGTACACACTACAACTGTGAAATGGGAAGTAATTTTAATTTACCAAATTATAATAAGAGTAGAAAGAATAGCAATAATAAATAATGTTCCACAAATATTATTAATATATTATTATTATTATTATTATTATTATTATTATTATTATTATTATTATTCAATTATGCTGTGAGTGAATGCAACGGAACATTGAAGAAATTGAAAATGTATATATTTCTTATTTAATAATGTTTTAGAATTGACTGCCTAAATCATTTTCTACAGCTTTCATCTTGGTGCCCTTGAATTCAACTTATCAACATTTGCTGTTTGCGATGCTTCCTGAAGTCATTGGTATTTTCTTATCTGGTGCAACAAACAGGGTGTACTTTGCGTCAGACTTCCTGATGCAGCAGGTCGTCGCACGAAACACCAATGTAAACCGAGAAACAAATATAGAAATGACTTCATAATTGAACAATCTGTGTACATTTTTTCGTCAGTCTTAGATGAAATATAAGAATTTCCGTTTTAAAAGAAAAAAAAACAGGAGAAGGCCTGATGAGATACCGAAATTGCCACTCCAGGCCTTCTGACGATGGATCACTTATTAATCTTTTGAGGACGAAATTTTAAATTAAATATTCAGACTAAATTAATTTTCAACTTTCTTTAGTGAATAAATTTCTTAATGCTTCAAATAACCCTCACAATGACTTAATTTATGTCAAATGTGTATATTTGATTACCATGCACACAATTTAATCATTGCAGACTTTCGTGTACCGAATGTTCCTCAAGACTATCTCATATGTAGACTGCATTGCAAAAATATCCATCAAGGTCATTTCAATGTCCCTCTCTTATCTTCACCACTCCGTTTCACAACATTCCTGACGGATCATATAAAAACAGCAAACGCAATGTTTATAATATCTAGTATATAATGAAAGAGTATTGGGTTTCAAAGCATGCGGAGCTGTGGAATGAAATCATGGAAACGAATGTATGAATCACAGCTAAATAAAGGAAGAATCACTGTATCGCGTAGTCGAATGCGTTTGCTGATCGCTTGTTCTGTTTATGGTTACATTTTCATTTCAGATGCAAGAAACATATAGTAAAACATATCTTAATGTTTTCAGTTGCGTAAGAATATTGTAAGTCCCCTTGCGTGTTGATCAAGCATTTTACGGTAAATAAGGCTTTTAACAGGTACTTTAAACGGTAAGAAATACTGGAGCGAAAGAAACATCTGTTCCTTGCCCAATGTTTCGAATGAGAGTGTCGAACTGAACTGGAGACGAATCTCCAAATTTGGAGAGGATGTTGGAGGAAGATGAACAACGGCGAAATAAATTGTATAGCTCCTCACCTGTTACCAACCATACGAGTGTGTTTTAATATTTTATTTACGATGGCCTCAAAGTAACTTTTATTTTATTTCATAATATATTAATCACTAATCAGAAGCTAAATACTGAAGGTATTCGATTCAAAAATACTTTCATTTCTTTTTCAAAAAAAATTGCGTAATCAACGAACATTGTAAAAGTTAACAGTTAACGTTTATAATAAATGAGCATAGTTTTATAATAATTGCAATATTATAAGAGTTCATAAAGTTACATTTTAAAATGATCTTTTTACCTCATATTTGTTGCTAAAAATAATGTTATTTAACAGTAAATTAGAACACGCATTTTTAATGAGGCTGATCATTACGCACGGAAGGGAGCGCTATTTAGCTATTCATACGCCGTTGGAAATAAATATTTTATTTGTTTTCCAGCATTATAAATGACCTTTTTCGTCACAAGAAATAGTTCATAAAATGACGTCTTAAGTCACAGTTATGCTGTATTTACCTTTATTGCACAAATTATTGTGTCATCACACGTTCAGCCGCGAGAGAATACAGCACAATCACAATCGCAGCGAACAAATTGTTGGGAGGTAGCAACAAATTGTTTTTTGTCACAGATATGAAATAACCGTGTGGCCACAAAGTTGTTCTCAAAAATTAACTTTGATTGTCTTAGAAGTTTACAACGTTGTAATACAAAAGAATAAGGCATGAAACCGGTTTATAATATTGCTTTATTGCATTCGTACAAATATGAAACCTCGCTTTTTATGTCTCTCGTTTTAAAAGCATATGCTCATCCAATAGAGCTTCACATTGTAAACTACTATATACATGTAATCCTATTCTGCGATGTTTGTATATAATAAAGATTATTGTATTTTCAATACTATACATTTCTATTTTATTTTACAGTCCACTACAAATATTATTAAACTATATTTCACACTAAACTACTCACATGAACGTTATACTGTGCACTAATTCACACATTATTATGCTATTAATTTCACACATGAAATTGTTGAATATTGTCTTCGTAAATGTACTAGTGTCTATTCATAAATATGCTTGCTCAAACTGCGATAAAGAGGAGGAACTGGGGTAGGGACTTGGGAGAGGCGGCAAGATAGAGCTTGGGGAGATATCAGAAGCAACTCGTCGTGCGAATAAAGCACTTCCTAACTTCCGGCGAGATAGCTCCCCCCTCCCCGTTGCTCACATCCGTGAACCCGTGAGAGGGGCAGGTGAAGGTAAGTGGATGGAAAAAGGCAACTTGAGTTCCCCCTTTATCTCGCATTAGCCTTCTGGAGCAGAAATTCACAAGTTGCAGAGGTTTTTTTTTTTTTTTTTTTTTTTTTTTTTTTTTTTTTTTTT